AAGATAATGGACACAAGCACCTTTTATAATACTTAGCACATTATAGGGGGAATGTCAGTATGTTAATTAAGGGGGGGGGCTACATAATTCCAATGAACTGAGCCCTCAGACTCCAACTTGGACACCCTAATTACACTCTTAATGTGACTAGGCATCTAAATTAACCACCAAAGGACTGTACTGTAAGCGTGGAAACAGAACAAAAGAAAAACCTTGACTATACATAGTTCACTCAGGCCATAGTGATGCATTCTCCACAATTAGGATCTTTTCTGCCAGTTCTTCTTTCTTGGATAAGGTTCAAGAAATACTCATATATTCATGCCCTTTGATTTTGTGAAGCCCCTTTTCACTGATCACATTCTTTATTCCAGAGATTCCTAACCTGGGGTCACTGGATGAGTGTTAGAGTTGATGAAACCCTGAATTTGTATAAAAAATGTGCATTTATCAGGGTAGTGAGAATAGCTATTGTAACGAACAAACTCCAAACTATAAGCAGCTTAAAACAATGACACTTTTTTCATTTGCTCCTGTAAAGTCCAATGAAGGTACACCTAGTCAGCAGACAGTGTTCCACATGTCATTCAGGGGTCCAAGCTCCTTCCCTCTTGGGGCTCTACCATCCCCGAGGGCTTCAGAGTCCTCTGAGTATTCTTTGCTTTTAGCTGATTGACAAGGATCAAGAAAACTTAAAGAACTCGGAGGAGAGTTTTGTTTTGTTTTGTTTTGGATTTTTTGGCCAGGCGAGGACATGGCATACATCACTGCCTCTCAAACCCACTGGCTAGAACTCATATGACACTTAACAGCAAGCACGTCTGTGAGATGTAGTCTAGCAGTGCATTTGGGAGGAAAATAAAGCTGATTTTGGCAAACACATAGCTGTCTCAACCATAAGGGCCTATAGTATTTTCCTAGAGAAAAGTTCTGGGTTCTCAAAAGAACTGACAAGTTCCTAAAAGTCTAAGAACTCACAGTTTATTCAGACAAGGAACAATGAACTTACTGTCAACTTTTCTAGTTATAGTTACATTTTTTGTCATGCCTCTCTGAGACCACACCCATATTCCTCTGATGAAATTCTGTATTTACAAGTCTCCTCCATACATATTTACAGACTAATCTATCTAATACACATTTATTGAGTGATCCCTAAGTTCCAGGCACTGTGTTATGGGCCAGAAATGCAGCAGTAAATGCACCCTAGGCCCTCCACTCAGAGAGCTCACAGTGAATGAGACTGATAGGTGCATAACACGTAAATTGAGTGATCCCTAAGTTCCAGGCACTGTGTTATGGGCCAGAAATGCAGCAGTAAATGAACCCTAGGCCCTCCACTCAGAGAGCTCACAGTGAATGAGACTGATAGGTGCATAACACGTAATTCTCTTTAATTGGTAAGTACATTTCCAGAGATTGACTCTGAGTATTATAAGCGTGAGGACAAGTATTGACCCAGACTGAACCAAGCCATCATAGATGAGTAGCAGAGTGAAGCTAGGAAGAGAGAAAAGGCATTCGGGGTTGATGAAGGACACGAGAAAAACTCCAAAGACAAGAAAGAACATGGGTAAGGTCAAGGAGACGTTCATCAGGAAGTGAGAACAGGAAGGTCAGCAGGGCTTGGATTATGGAGGATTCTAACCCAGTTAAGAAGATTAGGCCATCTGCTGGATTACTTTGCAGATGGCTAATAGTATTCAATTTGTGTTGATTCTTACTAACAACTCTGAAGGATAACCTTAATCCCACGTACAGGGGCATCTGCCTTCCCCCTCATCACAGTATCCCATGTACTCAACGGTGTGCGTGACTGAGGAAAAGCATTGATTGTGACAATGACAATGATGCGGATGAGGACGATGGTGATAGCTAATATTTGTTAAGCAGCAGCCATGCTCCAGTGCTATTCTAAGCACTTTCCAGATTTAAACTGGTTTAGACTTCACAAAAACAAGATCAAACNATGAGAAAAAAAAGGCCCATAGAGGGGAAGTGGTTTATTGAGCTTAAGAACTCTGACACTGGGTAGACAGGCCTGCGTTGATTCTGAGACCTGTCACTTACTATCTGTGGTCCTTGGGTAAGTTACTTAATCTTACAAGCCTCAATTTCCCTCTTCTGTAAAGTGGAGATGAGCATGCCTGCTCCTTAGGTTGTTAGAGGAGCAGAGTTGTGAGACCCAGAGGTGGAAAATGCAATGTTACCTAAGGATCCATAACTGCACCAGCCCGAGGGCGAAGCTTAAGGATGGAAGTCTCTGCCTTCTCCACTTTCTCCCAGCCCTCCCTCATCCCCTTTGTGACCTGTGTCAGATTATACAGGGTAAGGATCTGATCCAGAGCAAGGATGGAGTTTCTAAGGTATAGACCTGGAAGACATAGATTGTGTCTTGTCCATCTGTATTAGTAGAGGACTAACTAGTATAACAACCCCCAATATCATGGCTTAACTCAATAGTGGTTCAAGTCAAACTCATTTAACAGTTCAAGGTGGTTGCTCAGTGGGAAACCTTTTTCGTTGTGGTCCAGAGAACAGGATCCATCTGCTTTGTGTGTCCACCATCTCCCAGGGCCTCAGTGTTTTCTGCCTAATCCTCTTTACTAGAGTTTCTGAACCATGACAGTACTGGCATTTGTAGTCAGATAGCTCTTTGTTTTGGGAGCTGTTCTATGTGTTGTAGGATGTTTAGCAACATCCCTGGCTTCTACCTGGTAGATGCCAGTAACAGCTACCAGCCCCAGCCCCTCGCCAGTTGTAACAACCAAAAGCATCTCCAAACATTGTCTAATGTCCCCTGGGGGGTCATAATCGCCCCTCCTTCTCTATTGAGAACCACCGCTCTATATTCAGCTGGAGGACAGGTGAAGAAAAGAGCATGGAGGATTACTTGGGACATTTATCGAGCCAGAAAATGGTGAACGTCATTTGCACCCACAATCTATTTCACACACAAATCACTTATCAGTCATACTCATGGTACGCCACCGTTACATCTGTGAGGGGTGGAAAGTAGGAGGAAAGGGAGAAGAAGAAGGCAAGAAGGGAAGCTGTGCTCCTGGACTAGCAGGTGCAAACGCTGAACTCATCCTGGTTCCACTTGAAAAAGAAAAAGAAAAGAAAAGGCAGTAACTTTAAATTATTCCTTAGTTACGTGGGTCTTCCCATTATGAAAAACTTCAGCTAGAACAGCATTTCTTAAGATGTGTGAGCTACAGGGAGAAAAAAGAAAAGAAAAGACGCCTTAGAGGGACCGTTAGTCTCTAGCACTATTGAGTGGTTAAAAAACAAACAAACCCCAAACCTATCATACTTTACACTACGATTCTGATTTGTGTATTAACTCCTGTGATGCGTCCTTCATTAAAGAAACCAGTTTACCTTTATTTCACACGGCATTTTCTGAACTTACTTTATTCCGTCAGTTTTTTCTTGAGCATCTACTATGAGCAAGTCATGATTCTAGATCCTGTGGATGCATCGTGTACAAGACCAGGTTCCTGTTCTCATGAAGCAGAATAAAAAGTTCAAGGCTTGAACTTCCTCACTTTCCTCTTCCAAGTATCATCCCCTCAGCATCTGCCAAAACTGCGTGCTGCTGCCATTGTTATTTACTCAGTTTTCTTCACTTTAATAAATTCATTTTGAAACAATAGTTAATATCAGTAATGTAATATAAAAAAGTATTACTGCTTGCCATAAATGTGAGAACAGGAAGGTCAGCAGGGCTTGGATTATGGAGGATTCTAACCCAGTTAAGAAGATTAGGCCATCTGCTGGATTACTTTGCAGATGGCTAATAGTATTCAATTTGTGTTGATTCTTACTAACAACTCTGAAGGATAACCTTAATCCCACGTACAGGGGCATCTGCCTTCCCCCTCATCACAGTATCCCATGTACTCAACGGTGTGCGTGACTGAGGAAAAGCATTGATTGTGACAATGACAATGATGCGGATGAGGACGATGGTGATAGCTAATATTTGTTAAGCAGCAGCCATGCTCCAGTGCTATTCTAAGCACTTTCCAGATTTAAACTGGTTTAGACTTCACAAAAACAAGATCAAACTGTTGTGAGACCCAGAGGTGGAAAATGCAATGTTACCTAAGGATCCATAACTGCACCAGCCCGAGGGCGAAGCTTAAGGATGGAAGTCTCTGCCTTCTCCACTTTCTCCCAGCCCTCCCTCATCCCCTTTGTGACCTGTGTCAGATTATACAGGGTAAGGATCTGATCCAGAGCAAGGATGGAGTTTCTAAGGTATAGACCTGGAAGACATAGATTGTGTCTTGTCCATCTGTATTAGTAGAGGACTAACTAGTATAACAACCCCCAATATCATGGCTTAACTCAATAGTGGTTCAAGTCAAACTCATTTAACAGTTCAAGGTGGTTGCTCAGTGGGAAACCTTTTTCGTTGTGGTCCAGAGAACAGGATCCATCTGCTTTGTGTGTCCACCATCTCCCAGGGCCTCAGTGTTTTCTGCCTAATCCTCTTTACTAGAGTTTCTGAACCATGACAGTACTGGCATTTGTAGTCAGATAGCTCTTTGTTTTGGGAGCTGTTCTATGTGTTGTAGGATGTTTAGCAACATCCCTGGCTTCTACCTGGTAGATGCCAGTAACAGCTACCAGCCCCAGCCCCTCGCCAGTTGTAACAACCAAAAGCATCTCCAAACATTGTCTAATGTCCCCTGGGGGGTCATAATCGCCCCTCCTTCTCTATTGAGAACCACCGCTCTATATTCAGCTGGAGGACAGGTGAAGAAAAGAGCATGGAGGATTACTTGGGACATTTATCGAGCCAGAAAATGGTGAACGTCATTTGCACCCACAATCTATTTCACACACAAATCACTTATCAGTCATACTCATGGTACGCCACCGTTACATCTGTGAGGGGTGGAAAGTAGGAGGAAAGGGAGAAGAAGAAGGCAAGAAGGGAAGCTGTGCTCCTGGACTAGCAGGTGCAAACGCTGAACTCATCCTGGTTCCACTTGAAAAAGAAAAAGAAAAGAAAAGGCAGTAACTTTAAATTATTCCTTAGTTACGTGGGTCTTCCCATTATGAAAAACTTCAGCTAGAACAGCATTTCTTAAGATGTGTGAGCTACAGGGAGAAAAAAGAAAAGAAAAGACGCCTTAGAGGGACCGTTAGTCTCTAGCACTATTGAGTGGTTAAAAAACAAACAAACCCCAAACCTATCATACTTTACACTACGATTCTGATTTGTGTATTAACTCCTGTGATGCGTCCTTCATTAAAGAAACCAGTTTACCTTTATTTCACACGGCATTTTCTGAACTTACTTTATTCCGTCAGTTTTTTCTTGAGCATCTACTATGAGCAAGTCATGATTCTAGATCCTGTGGATGCATCGTGTACAAGACCAGGTTCCTGTTCTCATGAAGCAGAATAAAAAGTTCAAGGCTTGAACTTCCTCACTTTCCTCTTCCAAGTATCATCCCCTCAGCATCTGCCAAAACTGCGTGCTGCTGCCATTGTTATTTACTCAGTTTTCTTCACTTTAATAAATTCATTTTGAAACAATAGTTAATATCAGTAATGTAATATAAAAAAGTATTACTGCTTGCCATAAATAGCAAGTACAAATAAAAATAAATACTATGAAAGCAAAATCCTATTATTAAATTCTACTAGATTACTATTTTCCAAATAAGGCTTCGAGCCTGTGTCCTGCTCTCTTTTTTTTTGTTAAAAAGGGAGATTATTAAGTATTAGAGACGTGACAGACAAATACTAGCATTAAATTGAGGATTTCTCTTTTGTGCAATCAGAGGATTGAAAAGACCATTGGAAAAGGATTTTTTTTGTCTGTGTTTCAAAATTAGTGTGTGTCCCTACATTATATAATGTGATCTGTGATCCACCAGAATGTGTCTTGTATAACATTAGTGGTGCCTGTTCTACACTCTGAGAAACAGTGGTCGGGGACACAATGTCCTGGCTGCTTTCACTGCATATGAAATTCTTCCCCAATACTCTTGGCCCAAACATAAACCGGACACACCCTTGTATGTTATTAGAAAGTTGGACGCTAAGCCTACGTGTGTAACCTGTAGACCACCATGAGAACTGTCTCAGTCTGTTTGGACTGCTGTAAAAAAATTATCATAGATGGGGTGGTTTACAAACAACAGAAATTTATTTCTCACAGTTCAGGAGGCTGGAAGTCCAAGATCAAGTCACCAGCAGGTTCAGTGTCTGATGAAAGCCTGCTGCCTGGTTCATAGATGGCACCTTCTTGCTGTATCTTCACATGGTGGAAGAGGCTAGATAGCTCTCTAGGGTCTCTTTTATAAGGGCTCTAACCCCATACATAAGGGCTTTGCTCTCATGATCAAATCACTTCCCAAAGGCCCCACCTTCTAATACTGTCACCTTGGGTGTCAGTATTTCGGCATGTGAATTTGGGGAGGACACAAACATTCAGACCAGAGCAAGAACCAAACCAAGACTCATCCTCGGCTCATTTGTGTGACTATCCCCTTCTGTTTTGTTCTTCTGTCCTTCAGATAGGAAAGAGGCAACATGTGTTTTTCCCTTCACCTACAAGGGAGATGTTCACTTCACTTGCACCAAAGTCAATAGCTTCTACCCCTGGTGTGCAACCAGAGCAGTTTATGACGGCAGATGGAAGTACTGCATGACAGAAGGTGAGTGGTAACACATCGTCCTCTGTCATCAGGCTTCTGAATAAGGTGGATTTCAAAAGAGAATGTGTGAATGTGTATGACATAATCATATTTTTGCAGACAAATTATAATGTTTTGTGTGCATAGAAAATGCTCTTGAAGTTCAAACACTGAATGCTAATAAAGGGTAGTAATGTTAATGATAGTGTTAAAAATGGTGCTTTCTGGATAAGGGTCTTGCAAAATTGTAAGACCAGTTGACCAAATGGAACCATAGTATTTTTTGTTTCTTTCTTTTCTAAATTAATAAGGAGAAAAGAAACAAAATGTAAAAGAAAAGACATTTGAGAGATTGTTTAATTTTTTTCAAAGCCCAAGGTATCTTTGACAATTATATGACTTCTGAGGATTTTTTTTGTGCACAGAGACAAAAGACTTTGTTTAGTGTTGGACATTTAAATTGTTCCTACTAATATCCATCTTTTGAATATTTAGGATTTGTTCTTCCCTGGTACCACTGTTTTTAAGTCTCTTAGATCAAATGCCCCTCCCCACCTTATAATAAGTAGATTATAACGTTCCTTTCACTATCCTGAAATTAAATTTACTAATAATATCACCTATCTATAGTCAAAATTTCCAGCTAAATCAACATAATTCCTTAACAGCAATATAAGAAATAAAATGAAAGAAATGTATAATAAAGTAATAAGCATGCATGATCATAACTAACTGAAAAGACATTAAAAAGCAGCCAGAGGCTTGTGCCTCTAAGCAGAATCTCTTTGATGATGAGAGCTAAACATGACTACAGAAAATGCCCCCACGCATTGAAAAAAAAAACCTAAAAACAATACCACTTCTGTTGAAAACTAACACTCTAGCTCAGTGCAAATCAGGATCAATAGCTTGAAATTAAATTAGAAATTTTCCTTTTTTCTAAATTCTGGAAAAGTGGTACCAAAACATGCTTAACACAAATGGTAGCAAAACTATGCCAAAAGTGTATATACTGACACAATCAGGGCCTAGATGTATTAAATTCCACTGTAGCATTGCTTTGAACAACCTGCTTTTGTCTAAATCTCCTTTAGCTAACTTATTGAGGGTCCCTGTTTAGGTGAAGGCTTACCTTTTTTTTTTTTTTTTCCTTTTTGTCTTTTTTCATGACCGGCAACGGATCGCAACCCTCAGTGTCGCGCCCGTACCGGACCGGGACCGGCCACGGGATCGCAACCCTTGGTGTTGCACCC